GCAAAGCAGAAAAGCGGACAACATAGACACAGAACGAATGAATACATAGATGTATGTGTGTATGTACATTTGAATATGATTAAAGCCACTTTTGGATTGTTATTGGTGGCACAAAGTGCTAAAAGTCAGTAGCTTTTAAAAACAGTAGCCCTAGCATTGCCTCAGTTTGTTGTTACAATAAAATAACGCGCAGTTGGTAAATAACACACTCAATATAACATTTACATATGTAAACATATGTACGTACATACAGCAGCGGTCAAAATAATAGAACAGCTGCCACATCGAATGTATAATCCCAATTCCATTGCACTTCTTATCATATCTCATATTCTTTTATGTTAAGCTACTTCCATTATCTCGATTTGGCAATGATTGGAATAATAATAATAAATAAGAAATATAATAAATAATAATCCTGAGTAATCGATCATTTTTTGATGACTATTTGAAATTAAAATTTATTTTTAATTTATATAAATTAATTAATTTGCTTATTTAAACGCATAAAGTGAGCTTTCTCGAATGAAGTTCTCATTAAATAACGTCAGTCGATCGTATTATTGTCAGAAATATCTGTTTAACTACACCAGAGAAATTCAAGACCGATTCTGAAATCAATAAAAACAAAAATAGCAAACGTAAAGTTTGTCAAAATATCATTTGAATGGTCCAATGAATAAATACAAAAGTATTTTGAGTCCAAATTGGTCCTCGATAAATATGTAAGACAATTTGCATGTTTAAAAATACGCACGCAACACGACAATTAACCTGACAAACTGCATATGATAATTTTGACGAGCTTCTCGTACTACAGCTCTTATTATTTTGACCGTTACTGTACACTATATATTCCAGTTTGTGATCAAGCTCTAAGAGGAAATGGCTACAAATGCAAAGTATTTTCAATGTAAATAGCAACAAGAAACCAGAAAGAAGAGCTTCATTTGGCACGCCGAAGATTACATACTCTAGCATAAACCAAGTCCAGCTGTTCAATCAAAAAAAGCAACTGGGTTTTGCAATCGTATACCGAATATAATTGCTGATCCAGCATATATGTATATATATGTATAGTTCATGGATGTAGTCTCATGACTTTTGTTCAAGTACTTTTATTTAAATCAAGTTTACGCCCAGTCAATTAATATTTATTAATTGCTTCTCCTTATTGTTTTTTGTTTTTATATTTTTATTATTTATTGGATACGCCTACTGTTGCAACAAAATTATCTTGAATTGCCGCAAATTGTTTTCATTGTGTAGGTTTATTCATTTAGCTGAGCATTTTATGGTGCGAAAAATGGAAATGCATGCAACAAATTTAAAAACAATCAAACATTTGCATTTGATATTCAATGCGATTCGTCGTGACAAGATCAAAAAGAATGTTGAACCCCATTCAAGATTTAAATCTCTAAATAAATATTGTTGTTGCTTCCAACACACTTCTCAATGTGAACAAACCTAATAAATTAAAAAATAAAAATAAAACAGGAAAAACAACTAAGCTAAACTCTAAACCAAACCCAAATAGATTGTATTCTTTAAAATATAAACCATTAAGCAGACCATAGACAAAGGTGCGCGACTTGAGGATATTGTGCACTCATTTCTGACATTCTCAAAAAGATAATAAGGCCTTTGATAATTATTATGGTTGTGATTTAGAATTAAAAACAACTTTTTTATGCCCATTAAAAGTGTCTAAAAGGGGTATAATAAAGTTGTGCTGCAGTGAGAAGAAAATAACTACGATCCCATAAAGTATATATATGCTTGATCAACATCAACAACCGAGTCGATCCAGCTATGTTTGTCTGCTGAGTTTTTTTTTTAATATTATCAATATGAATTGCTTAACGAAAGCAATGATAGACGCAATTTTAAACATAAAGCTTTCTAATCGAGAATGTGTATTCTTTGACAATATTGATTGATATTGAATATCTATAAAATGTTAATCAAAGATCGATTAACGAGCACTCATGTATTCTCTGCTTTATTACTGCTTTGAACTGATTACTTGTGATTATTTAAACCCGTTAAATTTATTTTAATAATTTGTTTTGTTTGTAGTCACAGAATACAAAATAGTCTTAGTAATACAAAAAAAAATAAAAATAATAATTATAATAAATGAAGACACTTAAATTGTATTTGATTCTGAAAGGATTCACGAATTACACACCAACAATCGGAATCATATATATATATATATATATATATATATTCATATACCTATAACATACACACATACAAATTCGATTTATGATAGGGTAAGTCCTAGTCGAGCTCTTTCGACTCGAGCATTCCTGCTGGTTTTTAGTTATTTTTACGCACTCAGGGCATTATGGTGAAGGTAAACGAGTTTTGGCCGGTGTCTCTGGTCTTGTCAGTTTTGTTATGGGTATTACTCGAACGTATTTGCGTTGACAAGCTTCTGTTGTTGTTGTTAACAACTATTCAAACGATTTTTCCTCATGAATGACAGTCATTAATGCCGCTCTGTCTGACTGTATGTACTGGTAGTGTTTGCTCTTTAATGATTTTCAGTGGAAATATAAAAATGCCATTTTCGTTAAGCTGAGTAAGATATTAATTACACTGAGTTCAAAGTATTTTGCAGTCAAATTTGCTAGGTCTTTCCATTCAATTGTTCAAATTGTTGTCTGCTTTGTCTTTTGTATTTTTTTTTTTTTTGCATAATAGAACAACAAACATTAAAATGGCAACTGCGAGTTGTAGTAATTTACGCTAGCTATTAAATTGTAATTAAATCATTATCTCAGCATTACACCCATGGCTGACGCGGCATGCCCCAAATGCCAAGCCAACTACGTCCGCTCGTATATTGGTTGTTGCCACAAAATGTATCTTTAGTTTGTCACTCCGACTGAGTTTTATGACCATTATTTGTATTTGATGGATTTGTCCTACAATGCAAAATATGTTTATCATTTAAGTACTTTTCAGATATGCATTTTTGCTATTAGCCAAGTCCAAGTCCACTTGAGCTGATAACTAAAAAAACAAGAGCTGTTAAGAGCTGAATGATATCTACTCACGCTTACTGGCTTCTTCTGTTAGATTAATACATTGTTCAATGGCCATTTTTAGCTGGTTATCAGACCGCAAAGTCAGAGATAAATGAAACTGGTTCTAAGAACAAAAAAAAACAGATAGATTAATTACCAGCTTATGACACACATCCGCTAAGTTTTGCTGTAGATCGTATGGGAGAGTTCGCAACAATTTTTATTTTAGCCACGTTAATTGTCTTGTCAAAAAAAAAGTATGCTAAAAAGCTGGAGTGGCGAACGTGTCAGAAAATCCAACAAATACCAAGCAAGAACAATGAGACTCAAATGAAAACGACTGCACAATACTCTGTTTCCCTCTCCAATTAAAATCGCATATATATTTATATACTTATATATATATACGAACAAAATTGCAGCTTAGCACTTGAAGCGATTTTCATGAATGAACAGAAAATGCAGTAACGACTACCTGTAAGTCCGGTAGCTGCTTTACGAATCAGCCATGGGAAACAGGCAGTGGCTGCTGGTTAACGGTTAACGTATTGCTGGTTGTTTGTTGTGGCCAACCAAACACGCGCTGCATTAACCACAAGTTGCGACGCCCACAAGCACAAATGGTAACAAGCTGCAGCGCTTGTGCTTGTAATCATAAATCGCATAGACTATTTCTGCTACTCCATAAAGTGAACAGGCAACATGAGCCGCAATTGCAGATGTGGAGTCGTTCCTGTCACTTGACAACGTTATCGAACAACTGGCACTTGTAATTAGTTAGTTGCTTTCTGGCTTAGACAGACCCCTAGTTACGGTTACGGTTGTTGTTGCTGCTGTTATTGTTGTTGTTGTTGTTGTTGTTGTGCACCAGATCTCTAACCACTTGGGTCTGCATCATGCTCAGCACTTTTTCTTGCCACAGCCGCATGCGCGTTTTGATAGCGTTTTACTGGCGTTTTTTTAATCGCACCAAATGCTGTCGATTAAGAATAGCGTGTGTGGAAATGTGTGGGAACGTATCCAGCTTAATTTCGCACACTCCTTGTTAAATACCAATAGAAATGCGTCTTTATTTTATTTTAATTATTATTAATTCCATTTTGAAAAATCCATCCCGAGTCAATTAAATTTATTTATGTTCTATTTGACATAATCTTGATTGGACGTGCATTTTTTAACTTAGCTACTTCGCTAAGCTGAAGTCTAATATTGCGGAAGAGTTAATTCTTATCTTTTAATTCGTTTGAAGTTTGATGCACGATGAAAGTCATAGCTGGTGGTAATTAAGCTGGCTAGAGGCACCAGGTCTCAATTGTATTCTAATTGGCTATAATCAAAAACGATTTAAGCGAGTAACAACAATGAGGAAGAACCGGTCTCTTGACAGGACATTATAGACCAAAAAGTCACTTAACTAAACTTTGTGTGGTCAGTAGCAAACTCTCGCAAATGGATGGGATCGTCAAAAGCAGATTAGATAGCAGATTATGTCGCCATAGTCAGGAAAAGAAGTTGTATCCTAAGCAGACATGTTTTAAAATCAAAGGCCATAAATATAAGGAGCACAATATGACCACAAAATGAAGCGCCCAATAATAATAAATTAAATAATAATAAGCTAAAATTGAGCTCAAATATTATGTCATTTTGGGTTTGGTTCTGTATGTGATATTAGCAATTCTATTTAAACAAAGAATTATAACTTTAATGAATGAACGAATGAACAACAGTTGCTTAAAAATATACAATAAATATATACATATATCAAATGAATTATTATTTAAATTAACACTTGAATGAATCGTTATAATAATGAATGAACATCTTCAAAATTAATTTACTTTTTCAATCTTTGAATGAGCAACTTGCACTCAATTAAGGAAATATATATTCTTATCATATATTTATGTTATATATTTAAATTTTAAATCGAATCTGAAATATTTGTATTATTTTTAGCACGCTCGCTGACTTGCTACTGCGATGGCAGCTGTCCGAACAATGTGAGCAATGGGACCTGTGAGACTCGGCCAGGAGGCAGCTGCTTCAGCGCCGTCGAGGAGGTGTACGATGAGACGACTGGCACCTATGAGGAGGAGCGTACATATGGCTGCATGCCGCCTGAAGAGAACGGCGGTCTTCTAATGGTTAGTTGAAGCAAACTCCCTTTGAATTCCGGCTCGCAACTAAAATGTACCTTTCTCGATTGCAGTGTAAAGTTGCCGCTGTGCCGCACATTCATGGCAAGAACATAGCCTGCTGCGAGACTGCGAATTTCTGCAATCGTGGCTTACAACCGGACTACATGCCCAAGATGACAACGGCAGCGCCCGAGTTGCCAGTGCACAGCGAATCTGTACACACCGTGGCCTTCTTCGCCTCGATAGTCGTTTGCATGTCCGTCTTCATTGTTTTCGTGGTCATACTCTGTCTGGTCTACAGGCGACGCGAGAAACTGCGCAAGCAGCCGCGTTTAATCAACTCTATGTGCAACTCACAATTGTCGCCGCTGTCACAGCTGGTGGAGCAAAGCTCGGGCTCTGGATCGGGATTGCCACTGCTGGTGCAACGCACCATTGCCAAGCAAATCCAGATGGTGCGTCTGGTGGGCAAGGGTCGCTACGGCGAGGTCTGGCTGGCCAAGTGGCGCGATGAACGCGTTGCCGTCAAGACCTTCTTCACCACGGAGGAGGCGTCCTGGTTTCGCGAAACGGAAATCTATCAAACGGTCCTCATGCGACACGAGAATATTTTGGGTTTCATTGCCGCTGACATTAAGGGCAATGGCAGCTGGACACAGATGCTATTGATTACCGACTATCATGAGATTGGCAGCCTACACGATTATCTGTCCACATCGGTGATCAATCCACAGAAACTGCAGTTGCTCACCTATTCGCTGGCCTCCGGCTTGGCCCATCTGCACGACGAGATCTTTGGCACGCCGGGCAAGCCGGCCATCGCACACAGGGACATCAAGAGCAAGAACATACTCGTCAAGCGGAACGGTCAGTGTGCCATCGCCGATTTCGGACTGGCTGTTAAGTACATCTCGGAGCTGGATGAGATACACATTGCACAGAATACGCGTGTTGGCACGCGTCGCTACATGGCACCGGAGGTGCTCAGCCAGGCCCTCAATCCGCAACAGTTCGAGGAGTTCAAGCGTGCCGACATGTACTCGGTGGGTCTGGTGCTGTGGGAGATGGCCCGGCGCTGCTATACGCCCATTTCGGGCACCAAGACAACGACCTGTGAGGATTATGCGCTGCCATATCACGATGTGGTGCCTTCGGATCCCACCTTTGATGATATGCATGCAGTCGTCTGCGCTAAGGGTTTCCGGCCGCCAATACCGTTGCGTTGGCAGGAGGATGATGTGCTCGCCACCGTCTCCAAAATCATGCAGGAGTGCTGGCATCCGAATCCAACGGTCCGCCTCACAGCGTTGCGTGTGAAGAAGACGCTTGGGCGGCTCGAGGCTGACTGCCTCATCGATGTGCCCATGAAGATTGTCTAGAACTCGATGTACTACTTAAGAATATTTGTTAGTTTCAGTTAGTTAGTTAGATAGTTAGATAGTTAGTTAGTTAGTTAGTGCTCTGAAGTCTCTGCAGTTTTGACCTATGTTGCATTTATATATTCGCCAAGTTTTTCTGTTTCGATTTCGTTTTTTGTTCATTTCTATTGATTAAACTTGTAATCATTTAGTTGTAGATAAGTTGATAAGTTTAAGGATCTATGATTAACCTTTTATTGAACATCGTGCCTACTAATAACTTTAAGCGACGCACTGATTGTATGTTAGACTAAGATAATTGTTAGTTGTTAGTTAACTAATAGTAGAAGGCCGTTAATAATCATTGGTTAACAAAATGCTTTAACTATTTGAGAAATCTATTTGATACAATGCCATATTTACATTGTTGAACAAACAATATGAAATCGATGTATTTTGTGTCAGCTTGTGTACACTTTTGAAGTATACCTATTTAGTTTGTTAGCTTAAGTACGAGTTAAGCTTAAAATAACAAATGCATGCAAATTGCTTTAAATGGTTTTTCAATGGTTACAATACGCTATCTGAATAGATGTTTGTGCTTTTGAACTGCGCATGTAAAGTTAGCAGTATCTTTATTTTTTGTATTGTAATGCTTAAGCAAGTTGAAGGTTTTTGCCTGTTTGCAAGATAATGCTGCCTTATGTAAAATTCACTGAAATTAGCGCCTTAGAAAAACATCTTTATATATCAATACATTATTGTACCAATATACAAGAACGAATGATAGCAAACAGTTTGTCCAGTTTTGTTGCGGTTGCTTCACATAAAATAGTTATACAATTACTTAAAAAACCACATTTTAAGGTGCAAAATTGCAAAACGTCTTATGCTGTTTATATTTTTACGTTCATATAAATTTACTATGTATTTTGAAAAACGTTTCACATGTTTTTGTTCGAAAGCACTGGTATTTTGTTTTTCTTATTTTTTCATGTGTATATAGCCAACAATATCTGATCCAGGCAACTAACTATATATGTTAAATATATTGTAAGCTGTCATAATGAGAAATTCTTGTAAATTTGACATGTAAATCGCTGTATGCGTAGTATGTAAGTGTAAAACTTATCGCAAATACGTTCTTAAAATTACATTTTTGCATAAACAGCTTAGCTCTAAGTGCAACTTTATATGGACAAATAATTAATTTGTATTGATTTATTATTGAACTGTGCATAAGGAAACAACAATAACTAAAGTTGTATGTAAAACCATTAGATAATTTATTTAAAAGTAATAATAAAAAAAAAATTTTGAAAAAAACAAAAACTGTCTACTTATTTCTAAGTTTTGCTACTCAGGTTCTTTGGCTCTCTCCATTGGCTGTTTGCATTGGCGAAAGAAAATTGAGGCATACTTTTAGGGGCGCACAAAAAGGCGATAATAAAATGCTCAAACAAATCCAAAAACTACTTTTTTTCAAAATTTTGCTGCTCAGCTTTTTGTACCTATTTAGTCGGGATACAAATCGGGTTGCTGCATTGGCTGTTTGCATTGGCGAAAGAAAATTGAGGCATACTTTTAAGGGTGCATAAATTTATTTCAAAATTGTTCTGCTCAGCTTCGTTTGAAACAAAACTGCATTAAAAAATTTGACTTCAGACTCATCTAAGAAAGATATTAAGGGATATCAGCCAAATAATCGAAAATAAATTCAATACATGAAATAGGGCCAACCTTTAAGTAAATGGCCATATCTCCGTCAAAAATTGTCAAATTTCAAATAGTAAAGTATTTTTAGAATTGGCACGACTTTTGAAACAACTGCATTAAAAATTGGACAAATCGGGTTGCTGCATTAGCTGTTTGCCGTCGAGAAAATAACTTGATGCATACTTTTAGGGATACTTGATAATAGAAGTGCGATAATATAGAGGCTCTATCTCTGTCAAATTCTTAAAGATTTCCAAAGGATATGCTACGATAGAATCGCATTAAGCTACTCTAGTGACCTCCATGTGAAATTATTAGACAAATCTTTTTATTTTATACAGAGAACATTTCAAATCGTGAGCCTAAAAATATGTGTTCTTTTGAAATGGATGTAGTTAAGCTCTATCTTCAAAGGGTATATCTTTTTACGGAAACAGCTCTAAGTCAGCCAAAAATCGTACTGATTTTTAAAGGCTAGGACCTTCTATATTGAATTACATTTAAGCATTATATGGTCATCGTATTATCCACATAACGTTGATTTACAAATCAAACTTTGAAAATCAAGCTGGGAATATGAAAGTCATTTTTAATTCTACAGGCACTGCTCACTCGAACTAGCACATACCCAAGAATTTAATACATTTTCGGCCATTACCGCTATAAATTATTTAATAAAATGGCAACTCCTTTGCTCGTTCATAATTTTGTGCGCCATGCACCCTTCAATTCCAGAGCCCGTTGCTGCTCGGCAAGCGTCGAAAAGATACCGTTCAATAATGTTGACTCCGCAGAGCTGACAAATAATATTGAGCCACGGAACAGCAAAATACCAATTTGTATAGCTGCCAAAATGTATCAAAATGAGAGTGGGCGACCACTTTATTTCCAGATGGTGGGCGCTAAAATTGGGGTAAGTCGCATCATCAAATCATCATCAATCAAATGAAGCTGGAACTATTCTATCCAAACAGAGCCGACGTAAGAGCGACGCTAGCGATGAAGCAAACGCTGGCAAGAACATTATCTTCGTAGCTGGCCAGGGAGGTTTTGGCATGGACCCAAGTCGAGAGATTATGAAGAAAGGCCCCAAGGTGTGTGTGTGTTTGCTCAGATCGGGTAGTTTATATCTAAATGCCCCAAAGAATCCTTTTCGCTTAGAATCTGATGATCCTGGACACGCTGTACAACACGAAAGCGATTAAGGAATTGCAGGAGCTGAATCAAAATTCGAAAGTTACATACTAAAAAGCTACTCGAAAGAATCTTCAAAAGGTTTAAGAAAATCAATGTGCTAATCAATGTCGCCGGCATCCTGGACGATAACCAGATGGAGAAAACGATTGCCGTGAATTTCACTGTTACAGTTAATACCACCATCGCAATTATGGACTTCTGGGATAAGCGCAAGGGTGACCCAGGCGGAGTTGTTGTCAACGTCTGCTCGGTGACTGCCCTCAATCCCATCCCAATCATCATCCACCAAGAGTCCGTTTACAGTGCCTAAAAGTGTGCAACTTTCAGCTACACCTGTTCACTGGCAGTAAGGAGCAGCAGAGTCAAATAGATCCACTTGCTAAGTGCCATGAAAATCTCAACAGAAACTGACGCCCATCACTGGCATATCGGCGTACTCGATTAATCTGGGCATTACCCGGACGACACTGGTGCAATAATTCAACTCGTGGCTGGATGTGCAGCAGACCGGCAATCGTTTTCTCAAGGCCATTGAGGCCAACAAATATGGCGCCATTTGGAAATTGGATCTGGGCAAGCTGGAGCAAGTCCAATGGTAGGCAAGTCAATTCGGAGTGGTAGTAAATAGCAACAGAGTTTTGATAGAATTGACACAATAAAGAACAAAAAAAAGAAAAAGAGATAAGCTACGCTCAGCTAATTGGATAGATAAAAAGGCAACAACAAGTTGAAGGTAGCCAAAAGCTGTTGCAGCAGCATTTGAATGCTCAGTAGTAAAATAGAACTCGAGTCGTTTTGGTCGTTTTGGTCGTTTGGTAAACATGTTCGATTTGACCGGCAAGCATGTCTGCTATGTGGCAGATTGTGGGGGCATCACTCTGGAGGCATGCAAAGTGCTCATGAGCAAGAATATAGCAGTGAGTATCTGTGACTGATAAACCAGGGGGCATTTTGGATAAGATAGTTCTGATATCTCTCTATAAAAAAGTTCTTTATTTTTTAAACGAGTCGCAATAAGACAATGCTTATAAATATTCTCTTTATGGAGTATTTCTGAATTTCTGATGAGTCACTGTTCAAAATAATTTAACTAGTTTATTCACTATCAATTTAATTTAATATGCTGTGCAATTGTTTGGTAAATATATTAGAGATTATTATTTATCGCCCGAAGTCCAAAAGTAGAACGCTTTTAAAAAATGTCCAGATTAAAGTTCATCAAGAAATATACGAATTTTTACTTGTATCTTTATTCATATAATGTGTACTAAAAAATAGTTTACAATTTAAAAATAGCTCATAAAAAAATTAAAATTATATTTAAAAAAAAAATTGTTTAAGTATAAATTAAATGATTTACAATTAAAAGTTAATAATTAAATTAAAATTTAAAATGAAAATAAAGAATATTTAAATAAATCTGGCATTTTATATTATATTATTAAAATGGAAAGTGAATAATTAAATTAAAATTTAAAATATAAATAAATAAAATAAAATAAAGAACATAAAAATAGTTGCGCGGATCTTTAAATCTAAATTGGCCAAACATTTGTTGCTGATATAAAAAGTGAAATAAAATTAAAAGTGAATAGTTAAATTGTATTTATAATTTGAAAAAATAATAATATGATAATAAATTCTATGGTATTTAAATGTGAAACTGTCCAACATTTATTGTAATAATTTGGTAAACCTAAAAGCAAAAAGAGAGAAAGAGTTGGAAGTAAAAAAATGCTTAAATGAAGAAACAATTTGTGGTCGAATAAATCAAGAATTGCTTAATCTTAAGAACCAAATACGTAAACTAAACACAATTAAACACAACACTTCCTCGGTGATAAGTGTTACTATTATTTTGACCAGAGTTGTACATACTTGCCTAATTTGCATTCCAATTTTAGAAACTGGCCATTCTGCACAGTGTGGAGAATCGTCAGGCGATTGTTCAATTGCAGTCGATTAAGCACAGCACGCAAATCTTTTTCTGGACCTTCGATGTGACAATGGCCAGGGAGGATATGAAGCAATACTTCGATGAGGTCATGGTCCAAATGGACCACATCGATGTGCTGATCAATGGTGCAACAATATGCGATGAGCAGGACATTGATGCCACTGTCAACACAAATCTAACCGGAATGATGAACACCTGCGCCACGGTGCTGCCCTACATGGACAGACAGCAGCTGGGAAAGGGCGGCATCATTGTGAATGTGACCTCTGTTATTGGATTGGACCCGTCACCCGTCTTTTGTGCCTACAGCGCATCCAAGTTTGGCGTAATTGGCTTCACCAGAAGTCTATCGGTGAGTTGCCTTCGCTCTTTTCATTTGAAAGTAATCGCCCTAAATTTTAGTAAATTGCCATACTTTTGGCGCCAAAAGTAAATTACAAATATATATAAATATTACTCAGTATAAATTCTGAAATTTTTTTAAAAACTACATTTCAGAGTACATTTTTCTAAAAATTGAATACAAAATTTCTAAATTTTTGGTTGATTTATGTGTAAATTTAAAAAATTAAAAAATTTTATATTTTTAAGAGATGTTCACTTTTGGATGATTTACTAAAATTTAGGGCAATTTTTTTTCTGAGTTTATATACAAGTTAAGGTTGCTAAATGATTCTCCTTTTAGGATCCGTTGTATTATAATCAAAATGGCGTCGCTGTAATTGCGGTCTGTTGCGGACCCACAAAACTGTTTGTCGACCAGAAGCTGACCGCCTTCCTCAGGTATGGCCAATGCTTTGCCGATCGCCTGCGGACCGCTCCATGCCAATCTCCGGCGATCTGTGCGAGGAACATTGTCAACGCCATCGAGTGCAGTCAGAATGGACAGATTTTCATTGCGGACAAAGGCGGATTGGAGCTTGTCAAGTTGCATTGGTACTGGCAGATGGCCGATCAATTAGTGCACTATATGACGACATCCAACGAGGATGGGGAGAACGATGACTAACACGAGTGTTATTAGCAGCACTATATGAATACAACAAAATATAATTACATATTACAACTTGATCTAAGTGAGTTTGATTTATATGTCAATCAGTCTACAATTGAATTTTAAATTTACCACTTAAAGTAAAACAATCTGGTCACTTTTACCACGCTGTAGCGCTGCCACGCAGTTGAGCAAGAGCTAATAAAACGGAATTGCGTCACGTGGTTCAGAAAAAGGATATTTCTGCAGCTACGTTGCAGCTTGACTTTTTAGATCGATTCATTAAAGTAGTTCAGAACGAACTATTCGTTCGGTCCCAATATCTTTTGGTAGGTTCAGTACACAAATTTGTACAGAATGAACCATTCGTTCAGTGTCAAAATCGTTTTGTTGGTCACTCGAGTCCCAAGTCGTTCAGTAGTGAAATCGTTAACTCAATTCCTATTAACGTTCTTTTTTTTTATTATTCAGATATTTAATATTTAATCTATAATCGTAAATTAACATATAATCCCAGATATGGTGATTATTCGAAAATGAGTGTTAAAATTTGACCTACTGAACGATGGAGAGAAGTGTCCCACAGTTGGACGACTGAACGATTTGGGACTCTTCTTAACGACTGAACGATACGTCATTTAGTCGTTCAGTTTGAGTATTAGTTTAATCGAACTCAAACTTAACGTTCTTAGACGAATTTCTCCAATGCAGGGTGTGTGTCTCAGCTAAACTCCATATTCTGACTTGAACCCATAACACTGCTACCGCAGCTGACTTCACGTGAGCTAAAAATATGCGCAACTTTAAACGAACAATTTTAGTCACTTGAAGCTGGCTGCAAGCGGCATTTGACTCGCTTGAAATTGTGCACAGTGATACAAAATATGACAAATAAACAATAATATTTTAAAGTGGAGCCCGTTGATATCCTGCTTAAAACACTTTCAATCTGATATTCATGACATTACCATGCAAAAAATGAAGAGTGCAAACATTTTATGAATTGATTTTAAACTGATTTTATTGTTTTTATATTTATTTGGTGCCAAATTATAAATATTGATATACAATAGAATTGTTTTTGTTTGATTAAATTTTGGCGACTTTGGGTTAAGGCTTTTATCGTACTCTTTTTGGCTGCTATCTTTCTTTGGCTAATACATTTTTCAAATTGACAAATACATTTTGAACAACTTTCACTTTTAGTGTTAACAACTGCTTTTTCTGATTTGTATCTAAATATTGCAAAATAAAAAGCATATGCCACTGCTATTCATAAGTAATTTTCCCCATCTTCATTTACAATTGTCACTTCCGCGTGGCAATCCATTCTCAGCCGTTGGGTGGCTTTTCTTCTTCTATCTCGCTGACGTTGACATTGATGCGTCTGCTGATTTTGCTCTGGTTGTTTTTGTTGTTGCCACATTCGCCATGCGTGATGGATTCTCGAAGCTTCCCGTGACTGTGGCCTCCATTTGGAAAATTCGCCGCAAAATGATTAACGACTTTTCAAGTGACTTGCAGCAGCAGCAGCAGCAGCAACAAACAAAAGGAAGTGGCATAACGAGGATTCAAAATATGCCGCTGCTGAAGCTTCTGCTGACTAAACTGGTTGGCTACAAATTGGTCTTGGCCAACAAGGTCCTAGACGCTGCCCCAGTGTGTGTGGGCTTTTGGGAATTAATGATTTAAATGACTCGACGCTTGATGTTGTTAGATGGCAAATGGTAAATGGTAAAATGGTAAATGGGCAAGCTCAGCTCGACGATGGTTGTCATGTCATTAGGCAGCACTCGCTGTGCCCATTTTCACCTGCAGCTGCACACATTTTTCAACACTACTTCAAGCATAATGGGTGCTGGGGCTGGGGGGAGTTGGGGCGTTGGGGAGTCAAGCACATCCGTTAATTGCAGGCAAACGTCAAAAGTCGTCGTCTGTCGACTGTCAGCTGTGCGTAGCCAAAGCTTTGGCGTTGCCCGCCAAAGTATACGAGTATATATATGTATATGTATATATATATATATATATGGGCTGGTCATGGTCGATAGTTGTTGTTGTTGTTGTTGTTGCTGCTGCTGCTGCCCACTTTTGGCAACAACAAAGATTGATGTGTGTTGTACGGCGGCAGGCAGGCAAAACGGAAAATAAATGATGTTGGTGATTATTTTTCTTCATTGAGCTCGAAGCTGTTGCAGACCTATCACTCTTTCTCCCTCTCCCTCTCCCCTCACTCTCTCTCTCTCACTCTCTCCCTGTATATCTCTCTCTATCTCTCTCTCCCCTCCGTTGTTTCAACAGCCATTTTGGCCATCAATCTCGGTAGCATCAAGCAGGCAGCAGTCAGCAGAGACAGCAGACATCAGGCCCGGCATTCATTCCTTCATTCATTCCGTCATCCAGTCAATCATCCAGTCAGTCATCCATTCATACGCAGCACATTTGGACAATCTATCAACTTGGGATAGCAAAATCTATGCCAGTATGCTCAACTATGCGGTCTGTCGTGTCTAACCACGACTGCGAGATACCCTACATAGATTTTTATTTATTTTTTTAATAAATTGTAAGATGCTCGGATTTTTTTGATGAATTGTTAAATATTTATTTATTTATTTAGTTAGCACAACGAGCATTTTTCTGACTCTGACTACTTTTTATATCATAAAAAATAAAAATAGGTTTTAATAGTTAAAACGATACTAATAGAAAAATGCTCTTTTGCTAAATTTAAAAATAGTACATCAAATGAATAAATAACAAATAACACACACGTACTCGAGATGTATTGCTATAATAATCCTCCAGATCGGTGGATCTTCCAAAGTGATAAACTGTTTGGGGAACTGTTGAATGCAGTTGTTTTACTTAACACCAATGAATGGCATATATTTTATTTAACGCCAAACGGGCTCTACAGTTTTGGGTATATAGCTCTTGGTGACTTGCACAGTCATTCGAATAAAATCATTTCAATGATTCAATGATTGATCGATTGGCGAAAGTTTAATTGGTGTCCTCATTTTTAAGGCGCCACAAACGAAAGTAAACGTTGAATTTGGCAAATCCACTTCTGAATGTGGAAAATGTAACTAGTGAAAATGAGTAACCAGCAGATGAAAATCAAATGCAGTTCTGCAATATGAAAAACTAACAAAATTAAAATGAATTTCTTTTGAACTAGACTTAAAACGATTATAGCAAAAATAGCAAAGATGTTAGAAAACATGATAAACTTTAAGAGAACAGTAAAAACTTGCATGAAAAGTTGTGGAAATTGCTGTTAGAAAGTTTGGAAAAATATGCATATATATATAAAATTGTTCATCAGTTTGCAGCAATTATGCAGTTCTCAACATGTGGCTGCCTCTTGCCCCTCTTTCGACTAGCGGCTTACACATTGTTGTGGCATTTTCAACTAGCCAAATAATCCCGTTTGGTAGTTGGTCAACAGTAAGTTAAGTAAATTTCTAAATCTTTCGTTTCGTTTGGTAACAACGAATTAGCAAAAATAAAGCTCAACTTTTAAATGCTGGAATGTGTTATTTCTGCTCAAAGCGGGGGAAAAATTGCGATCTCATCAATTACTCGACAAATTTAGTGGAGACTGTGGCTGAGATGGGCAGTGGCAGGGGTTGTGTGTCTCAAAGTACGGCAAAGCGAAATGTCCGGATGCAAACAATAAAATACATTTTCCGGTTACTTGTCACCCACTTTTCTACTTTTCTACGGCCAGCGAGAGAAAGAGAGAGAGAGAGGGAGGGAAAGGAGGGGCGGCAAGTTGCCACCCAAGTTGACACATGCTGTTTCTTCGGGCAGCAGACAAGGACCAAGACCCCAAAAGTCCTGGCAACTCCTCAGCGATTGCCAACAAAGCATTTTACTTTTGGCCAAAAGTTGTTGTTATTGTTGTTGTTGTTGTATTCGTAGCTGTTGTTTTTGTGATTGTTGTTGTTGTCCAAAGTCATGTCGACAATGGCTTTAGCTTTGCTTTTGACACTTGGTAAATGGCGCCGCCCGTTGAGCTCAGCTCGCCCAGCAACAAACATTTGCCCAACTGGGCGTGGCCAAGCACAACTAGGAGCCAGAGTTCATCCCAATTCCTCTGCTGCTGCTGCTGCTGCTGCTGCTGTTTACCGCTTCACTTACGCGTCGCACTTGAAAACTGTTACACTCAGAAAAAAAATTGAAATGCAGTTTAGTAAATACCCCCAAAAAATATAATTTTTAATTTGTTTTTAGAAATAATTTCCACATTTTTAAAAATTAGAAAGGCTTTGCTATATCGATATATTTATATTTATAGTTCATATCGACTTAATAAACTATGTAAAGAAAATTTATTCATCATGTAAGTAACAAAAAAGCTCTTCAACTTACACACATAGAAAGAAAACAACAATCTGAAAATTAGACATATTTTTTTCTACATTTTCGAAAAATTCAACTTGAAATTTAGAAATGTAAATTCTCGTTTTTAAAGAGCCACAAACACAAACTTCAGAAATTTACATTCTGAATAAAATGATGGCGATTTACTAAAATTTGTCTCGATTTCTTTTCTGAGTGTACAGAGAGTGACAGAGACAGGGAGAGAGGGATAGAGAGAGTGATTCCTTTTTGAATGCAGCTTTGCCTTTTAAGAACATACATAAACTGTGCCAAAGTGCAGCAACTGTTGGCCAACAACAGAGTCGATTGGAGCAGAGTTCATGGCTGGTATTTCTGGTCGAGAGCTGCCTTTGCAGATAACTTTGGCATTTCGTCGCATGCCACAAAACACATTCATTTATCATGTGCGTGTGTTGCAAAGCTGGACGGCCACTTTTGACGTCCTTGTGCTTGGATGCTTGTGGCAAGTTGCGCTGCCAATCGATGACAGCATTTAGACAGTCTAACAGACTGACAGACAGACAGACGGACGGAACAGAACAGGACAAGCATGAGTTGAGCAGTTGCAAATATTTTGCCAGAGGATTGCAATAAATAATTGAACAAAACTTGAGCAATTTGTTAATGCACATTTTTAAGGCATACTTGGAATATTCATTTGGTTAATCGTGTGCTGAAATTTATGTGT